TGAAGCGGTGCCGCTTGCGCATCAACTTGGTGTAGCCCAGTCTGCCGAGCACAAGGACCACCGAGACGAGCATCGCGAGTGCAGGAAAGAGGACAACTCGCCGTACGGGGTGCCATGCCACGACGTCTGGCAGGCACAAGCAGGCTCGCCTTGGTCGCGTAGTACGTCGGTGGGCACCTGCACACCGAACGCAGACAGCGGGCGTGCTCGTTGGCGTGGCTGCATTCAGCGTGGCTCAAACAACGCTCGTCCAGGCGCCGAGGCTGGGCACACGAGAAGCTACCGTCGAGTCGCAGCAACACCGGCATGAGCTCGGGGCATCGGCAAGTTTCGGACAAGCACACGAGAGTGGACGGGCAGTCCTTGCGTCCATCGGCACGCAGAGCCCGGTCGCGCAGTCGTGTTCCCCGATGTCTCTTTCATCGTTACGTGGTGCGACGTGTGCGCTGAAGGACGCTCGATGCGCAGAGGTGGATCATCCAGCCCCGGTGCCTTAGAGCTGCATTGAAAGCGAGTTTGCGGACCCCCGTGACCGTTGCCAGTGAAATACAGTCAAGTTCCTTGAAGATGTGGCGCTCACCCACGCTGGGGGATTGGCCGAGAACTGAATAGTTTTAATGAAAGACTTCTTTAATAAAAGGTTACGATTGATCTATTTACGAGAGAGAAAAATGAAGATGAAACAGGCCGAATTTGATGGCGAAATAGTAAGTAAACTATAGTGTGATGCAATGAAGTGGTGCATTTGAATTAAAAATGAATTTGCAAAAGTAATAATACCTACCGAAGAATGATTTCAACACCTCTTTGAACCTTTGACGAACTCCTGCAATGCGTCAGCAGTCTTCCCGTCGCTGTAGGCGTAGCATTAGAAGACGACGACAATGATAATGGTGACCTCTTATGAATGGCGCACACCCACATAGGGGAATCGGCCAAGAACCGCGGGTGGCAGGATGCTTAAATTAATTAACAGTGAAACTAATTCCAAGCTTGGAAACTAGTTTAGAGTTAAAACTTCGAATACATGAAAATTCTCACAGAGCGAGTGGTCAGACCGTCGTTGTGCATTTTGCAGATGAAGTACATTTTCTGTGAGGCCTATTCTCTCGTAGATATCAGCCAATTTTACTAAGCCCCTTCACAAAAGCAAAAAATATGAACACCTGACAACGAGTAATTCTGGTGAGGTGACTTCAATGCCGAGACAGCTATACCATGCGAGCCACACCCAGTTTTCTCATCTTTTCTTCAAGAATCACTACACCTTCTAGGAGTCTTGCTCCACTCGGGAGCACTTTCCGTTTCCGGTGTTGATCGTCCTGGTTTTAGCAACTGTTGCCGGCTCAGAGCGGGTTGAGAGACGTGGGCTATGGCTGGCAAGGTTGGTACGCCTTTTTCGCGGGACATTAAACTTCACCAGAGTCACCTTCTCCATCAAGGTGCGGCGTCGGCTAGACGCGACAGTTTGAGAAAAACGTAATAAATTGATTACTTCCCGCTACTTTCTGGCTGGAATTGAGGTTGTGCCTGCCGATTTCTGCACCAAACATTTCAATTCGACTGCAAATACCAGTGGCAAAAGTATGTTCAGTATAGATCCCTTTAGGCAAGATGCAACCAGTCGCATCCACGGCTTCAGTGTATGACGTAACAAACTTGGAATAGTAGCTTATGCTGACGATGTAGCGTTCTTACGCACAGGTCAAACGTGGGAAATGATCTCTCTACAACAGCACAATTTGGCATTGCATCAGGAGGTCGTGCAGCCGCCTCTAAGAGTGTAAATAGGAACGTTTATTGTGGCCGAAAAGCTGAGAAGTTGGCCTGAATCGATCTTCTGGCCTACTACTCAGCGTTTTTAGAGAAGGGTGGGAGGAAGATTGGTAAAGAGATGAGGGAGAAGGCGCTGATGATGATGGCGGAGGCGGCGATGAAGTAAAACATTGAATGTCCAAAAGAATGAGTTACAACTTCTTATCGAGTTCTGTCTGTCGCAGAAACTTGTTGAACGCTTTCAAAATATTGCGCTGATGACGAGGTGGTGACGCTAATGACGAACTTTTTCCGACACTGGTTACTTCATAGGTTTAAAAAAAAGAGGGTGGGCATCGAATTTATTTGCTTCAAGTATTAACGGTTTGGCTCATGGGGTGTGTGTAGCGTCATCATAGTCGCCGTGCATCGTCATCATTCATCGACCACCACTCCGCTCCTCTCGTGCAGCTCATGCCTAGCTCGAGGCGCGAGGAGTATATAGAAGGACGCGTTCACGCGCCTGGCGGTTCAGATTGGCACGGTTACGTCGGCCGTCTCCACGACGTCGTCTCACATCTACTCTTTCGCAGCAGGTTGATACGCCAGAACAGTTCGCCCGGATTAACCAGACATGCTTCCACACAAGACACGCATAGATTCAGTGCACATTATTGGGGAGAAAAGCGTCCCTAAGCATGAACGATAGGTTCAAAGATTTCTTACACATGTCGCGAAACTCGCAACGTGAAGTGACCGAAACCTATTGCCACTGGCACCAATGCCCCCGATGATTCAAGTGCTACTAGGTGAGGGGAGGGCAAACAACCGATACCAAAAACTCGATACATTTTTTTGATAGTCGTAATTTTATATATGTCAAAGTTAGCTATACATTTAATTTACGGTTTATCTGACACTTGACTACACGGCTGATTGCCTCATTTTTCGGTCGAGGGCCTGATATGGGTGGGGGCGTATTCAGGCAATCTGCTATCAGGGCTTGTGTTTAGTTCGGCGCATTGCCAGGTCAGCGAGGCATTGCTCACTTTTGCGTGGTGGTTTCGTGCGTACCTTACGTAGTTTATTTGCTTACGTGTTGTTCAGTAGCATGGTATTTCAGAGCTTACATAGCTTCTCAGACAATCTGTAAACAGCCGCTCCTGTGACTAGTGACTGCTTTCGCTGGAACTTGGTCTTTGGTGACGGAATGCGACAAGCTAGGCAACCAGACGCTGTTCTGTACGGCTGCCAAAGCGACATTCTGAAGGCTGCTGTCTCACACTGCAGTGGTTTTCCATGATTGACTAACGTGAGTTTTCGAACTATTGTAATATTGTGCTCGTGATACCACAAATTTGTTCACCTGCAAGGCTTTCGGTGTATATTGGAAGTGCGCTATTTAGCTAATAAAGCAAATTTGCTTCTTCAACCTTTTTCATTGGTCTTACTTTTCTGTCGTGCATGCAATTGACGAGCCGTAAAACGCAATAAAAGCACATATTTATAACGGCACGTAAAAGGTCAGCAATCGGTTCGAATCTCGGCTGCGGTGGCTGCATTTCCGATGATTGATCGATATGTGGGGTTTAACGTCCCAAAATTACCATATGATTATGAGAGATGCCGTAGTGGAGGGCTCCGGAAATTTCGACCACCTGGGGTTCTTTAACGTGCCCCCAAATCTGAGCACACGGGCCTACGACATGCATTTCCGATGGAGGCGGAAATGTTGTAGGCCCGTGTACTCAGATTATGGTTCACGTTAAAGAACACCGGGCGGTCGAAATTTCCGGAGCCCTCCACTACGGCGTCTCTCATAATCATATGGTGGTTTTGGGACGTTAAACCTCACATATCAAAGTTCAGCAATCAAGGAAAAAAAAAAACAATTTCGGGCCATGTAGGGCAAATGCACGACGTCGCGACCACTTCCAATTGTGACGTCATATTTTATTTTTATTTTTTGTTTCCTGTTAGTGTGCACCACAATACGTCGATGACGACGATGACAACGAGTCCACCAATCACCGGACACATAGGCTTCTATGAAAGTCGCGCTACCAGTTTACGTATACCTAGATGCGGGCGCTGAACACCGGTGGAAGAAAGTAGACTACACAATGAGCTCCTTCCTGAGGCCGAACCGAAGTATCCGAAGCAGCGGTAACAGAGCACTCTTCTACAATGTAAAGAGTGCTCTGTGCCAGTATTAGGCGCTTTTGTTTGTTTGCCCAGCTCCTAGAGCTGAACGGGAAAGCTGAGACACCGTTTATTCTCAGCGTTGTGCCAGACAGTGGTATGTTGAATAATAAGCAAGCGCGTGCGGAAATGCTGCGTTTAGGTCGACCGTGGTCTGCGAAAGACCAATTTTCAGCCGCGAAAAAAAAGCTGGGCATCTAGCCAAGAGTCTCGCAAGCCCCAGCATGTAAACCAAGGGAGGTCGTTTTCTTCAAATCTATACAAGTAGAGCAACTGGCATAGGTTATAGGCAGAATTATCCGATGCGAAAATCCGCACGCAGGTTGATGTAAGTTGCCGGACGAGAAGGTATCACCCGACAGTCTCCGCTAAGTATCTGACAGAGCCCGAGGGCGGAGGTCCAATTCGTGGCCACGGCAGCTGCATTTCGACGGGGGTTGTATGCGAATATGTTTGGCAGCACGCTAAAGAGCCTTAGGCTTTCGAAATCTGCTGCTCTTCACAACAAAATTAAGTGCCTCATAACAACGATAACTGTTGGAACTTACTTCCCAAAACAATGATTATAAAGAATGTCGTAAAGGACTCCGAAAATTTCGACCGCTTGGGGTTCTTTAACGTGCGTTCAAATCAAGGTGTATTGGCCTCTAGAACTTGATTGATTGATTTGTGGGGTTTGACGTCCAAAAACCACTATTTGATTATGAGAGACGCCGTAGTGGAGGGCTCCAGAAATTTTGACCACCTGGGGTTCTTTAACGTGCACCCAAATCTGAGTACACGGGCCTACAACATTTCCGCCTCCATCGGAAATGCAGCCGCCACAGCCGGGATTTGATCCGGCCTCTAGAACTTCACCTCCGTCGAAATATGGTGCCTTCTAATCGTATCACGGCTGCCGCACGTATACAACTCGTCGAAATCCTGGCAGCGAGCAAGCAAGCTCGATGGAGCGCCGGTTCTTTCGACGCATACAAGAGCGCGGCGAAATATGGTCAAACCGAGACAGAAAAAGGATGAGCCAACAAGCGGAAGAGCGAGCGAGGGGACGATAACGTCATAGCGCGGAGAGGATCCAGTTGTTGGGCGGCCATCTGGACGGTCGTCGGCGGCCGACGCGACCTCGGCGAGGCGCGCAGCGCCCCAGCGCGGCCGCTCGTTCACGAGAAAGCGGCGTTGGGAAGAAGGCGTGTCCCCGTTGGCGAAGCGTGCATCCAGCCAGACCCGCGAGGAAAGTTTGCGCCGAGGTCGAGCGCGGGAAGACTGACTGCGACGGGCCGCCCGGAGTACGAGCCATGGCGTACGACACCGACTCGCTCCGACGGCTTGTCGGCAGCGGTTCACGTGGCTGGAGCGGCGGCGCTCGGTCGGCAACGCCGGGGAGCGGGAAAAACGTAACCGGATCACGTCGTCAGCCTCGGCTGCTTCATTTCGGATCCAGGTGAGCAAAGCAGCAATGAGGCGGGAATCGCGTGGATAGCGAGCCGTGAAGCGTTGCATGTCCGTCGTGAAAGTGCGAAGTGTTGAGGCAATGGTTATTTTACATACTTGCAAACTCAGATGACAGAACTACATTGAAGAAGAATGGCGATTTGGGCTAGTTGGTTTGAATTCATGGTAATAAGGGCTGCAGCGCGAGCACGAATGTGCTAGAAGAAACAGACGAAACTCGAGGCACGGAAGGTAAAGCGCTCGTGTTGTCCTCTTTGCCTTCCGTACCTCGACTTTCGTCTGTTTCTTCTAGCACATTCGTGCTCGCGCTGCAGCCCTTATTACCATGACCGAACTAATGGGAAGTGTTCGAAAAGGGTACGCAAAGCTTTGACGTTAACGTTCGTCGCCACTGAACATGCATGCGTCGTGCGCTTTCCTCCTGCGGACGCCCCTCTAAGCTCCCCGCCGCGGTGGTCTAGTGGCTAAGGTACTCGGCTGCTGACCCGCAGGTCGCGGGTTCGATTCCCGGCTGCATTTCCGATGGAGGCGGAAATCTTTAGGTCCGCGTGCTCAGATCTGGGTGCACGTTAAATGAGCCCAGGTGGTGGAAATTTCCGGAGCCCTCCACTACGGCGTCTCTCATAATCATATGGTGGTTTTGGGACGTTAAACCCCCACATATCAATCAACGCCCCTTTAAGCGACAGGAATAGCGGGCGTACGCAACGAACACTGTCTTTACGTGCGTTTTCTAAAACTACATAATACATCTTTCCATGAATTTGAGGTGCGATTTCAATGATCGCACAGTAGAGACGCTTATAGAATAATTCGGAATGCCGGAAACGCGGTTACCTGTCGGCGGAGCGCGCTAACGCATAAATACGAGCAAGGTCGGCGCATGCGCGGTCGTGAGCAAGTTTCGCTTCCTAGTGAATCTAGCGTTGTCTTGCGCCAAGCGGGTATAGCGTCAGGTGCCCATGAAAAGGAGGGCTGCGCAAGGCGCGGCCTATAGCGTACATACGCCCGGCAATCTATAAATGTCAAGTAAAGTCGATTCCTTGGAACATGTTCTCACCCTTATCTGCAGCCATTCTGGCAGCTGGTCTACGTGCTCTGTGACACGCGCTGCATGGCTACAACGGCATCGTGGGCTTTTTTCTTTTTTTTTCAGCTGTATTAGCTTGTTCGGTGAAGTACCTTTTTTTTTAATTACCACGGTTGTGTTTTGGTCACACTTTGGTGGAGGTGAAACGGTAAAGTCCGTGTATCAGATGGTCGAAATTTCCGGTGCCCTCCACTATGGCGTCTCTCATAATTTTATATCGTGGTTTTGGGACGTTAAACCCCAGATATTATATTATTATTATTATTATTATTATTATTATTATTATTATTATTATTATTATTATTATTATTATTATTATTATTATTATTATTATTATTATTATTATTATTGGTGGCTGGGTAGTAAGAGGGCAATTTCGACTGTTACGTGACCATTAATTTCTTTAACCGGTGTGTCTGTGACAGCGGCAATTAAACAGTTTACTAAATCTAGCCGCAAGATCAGGCGAGATCTGGCCACTTCGTAGCCAGTATATTCTGACATTTCTATCGTATATATTCTCTTGCTCGTGCACATACACTTGCTTTATTTCCTTCGTAGAGAGTATATAACGCTGATCAAGGAATATACAGCGGTATTCTACGTTATAAACACAGTACAAACTCGTTGATATGTTCCTGAAACAAAAGCTAAAACGCGGAAAATAAACGTCCGATCCCGATCCAGTGAAAATCGAGTCTGACAAGGCAATACCGAAGTGTAAGAGCAAAAAAAAAATGATTAAAAAATACACGGACTCTTCGATTTTCGAACTTCTGTCCATAGAGTTTCCTAAATAGGGAACGGGAGCTGCAACGAATGGCATTGCAGTGAGCACGGGAATTATGGGTATGACATGGATTTGCCTAGTCTTTGTACTTTACGTTCATTCTGGCTTCGCGTGTCTTGAAGCTGCTTTGCAAAAAAAAAAAACAAAAAAAAACAATTGGCATATGTTCAACAGTTTCGCTTCACCACTTTCACCTTTTGGCCTTACCATTTCAAATCGTGTCATGAAGTTCGCAATGGTTCGTTCTTTCCTTCGATACAAAACGAAAATAGAGCAATAAAAGAAGCCACAAGTGCATTCGCCGCCCGCACGCACAAATACTAGGCAAAGCCGTGTCATACCTATAATTCCCATGGTCGCTGAAGGATGGATGGATGGATGGATGTGGCTGTACCCTTGAGATCGGGCGGCGGCTAACGCCACCTAGCCGTAATACTTAGCGAACTAACCATTAGATCTACCTTTTTTTTTCCTTTATATAGTGAGGTTTAAATGGTGATCGCAGTGCCAGTGTCCCCTATAGTTAACTTGGGGAAGCTCTATGATTCTGGCATCTCGCTCACAGCCATAGGTCAACCAGCTATAGTTCCGGGGTCCTGACCGGAAACATTATCGTGATCACGTGTGTTGGAAACCGGAGTCAACCCACATATTCCAAAATTGAACGCTGGGTCAACCAGCGTTAACGTGAAGAAACGCAAAGGGAACGTGACAACAAACGAAATTTCGCGGCGCGTGATCGTCGATTCTCTCTACATTGCCGATTAGAAATATATGAAGCTTTTATTGTCTGGTTTGGTCTGCCGAAGAGCGCAAGTGATATTCCCGATGGTATGCGCTTGGGATATGATCACGTACAGGGGGAGGGGGGGGTGGTCTAAAGTTTCCAGGCCACGCTATATCCTTGCATGGGATAGTAGCCTGGGAACTTTTGACCAGCCCTGTACGTTAGCTCAGGCGCGACTCGCCCCGTCCGTGAAGACATTGAACTGCCGCTCGGCTGACGGCGTAGTAAGCGTAACTCGTGCAAAGGAAGTGTCACTTCAGCCTGTGACTACGGGTCCTCCTTCTCTATATTCTTACGATGTACTTATTCTTTTGTTTTATTTGAAATAAATGATTCCGATTCTAAACTCTACGCAGTGCACGTAACAGTCGCGGCACAACACGATATGACGATACGCGAAATCTTGCGGAAGTGATAAACGTACCCGAAAGCGACAGGTGCTCGTGGCTATCGCGATATACTGTTCGTCGCACAGGCACGCTGATAAGTTTGCGTGCGGCGGTATGCTGGCCGCCACTCGTAGCCACACCATCTCACACGGTGGACGGGCTTGAAGTATACCCAAGCGCCTGCATTGCGATCAGCCGATGGCAATTTACCTCCGTATTCTAGAACGTCCCTCCACTCAACGCTTCACCTTCACTTGATGGATGGGATGGATGGATGGATGGATGGATGGATGGATGGATGGATGGATATGGCTGTACCCTTTAGATCGGGCGGTGGCTTGCGCCACCAAGCCGTAATAGTTAATGAACTTAAAACTATATTTATTTTTTTCCCTTAAAAAGTGAGTTTGAGGATTCGTACTTTGCAGTGAAGAGTAATTTTCACTTGAGAAAGCCGATGGAAGCGCCATCTCTAGGCACGGCAAGTCACTGAATATCAGCGATAATCTGCTGCGATTCTCAAGTAGCGCAGCGTCATTTTGAGCCGAGCTGTGGCGTAGCGCTCAACACTGTCAAGTGAAGGGGGAAAGTCGAGTCGAGGAGCGTTTGTGAATACGGGGGTTAGTGTATCCACCACTTGTCCTGTCGAGAGAGCGTCCAACGTGCCACGCTACTTCAACGCCATAGCGTGTATAGTGTCTATACGCTTCTTTTCTTTCACTGGAAAGGAATTTCAGGAATTCCATCGAATAGTTGCGGCATGTTCTCGGTTTCGCGGCGACATACAGAACGTGCAACGCGCGGAATCCATATTCCTAGTTTTATTCTTTTTTTTTTTACCCTTGATATTCGGCAATCACTGGAGCGTCTCGAGTGCCACTCCGTGGTGCGCCTTTAATATCACCGCCCGCCCACCTGTCGTCGTCGGGACGCACAAGAGTTCAAACCAGCAACACCCACTCGCGTCCTCTTCGCCGGCTCAGTCGGCCATCTTGAAGCAAGTCGCGCGCTGCACACAGTTGCCTCGCGAGGCTTCTCCTCTCTATCCAATCTTTTTTTTTTTTTTTTTTATTGGCGCTAGTATGCCCTACGGCATCAGTTAAATAAAAAGGAAAAGTTTTGTTTCCTGTATGAAGGCCAGGAGTTGTCGATGCAGTGGACCGTGCGTCCAGCGCGTCAAGTCAGGTGGTCGGCCGGGGTGGTGGTGAAGGCCGCGTAGGTGGCGAGTGCGAGCCTGGTGAAGGCCCGGGCAGGTTCCCAATAGGTGATCAAGCGTTGCCTCTGTGGCTGGGGCAACGCAGAATGGGCACGTCGTTGGGGGAGGCTGTGCACCAGATGTCCATGTAGCCCGGATTGCAGGAGTCAAGGCGGCGCCCACACGAATCCTCCTGAGCGCAACCTCCTCTCGGCGAGTTAAGCCGCCGGGAAGGTCAGATCCACGCGGAGGAATGAGAGCACGCGTGGAGCGCCGGAGGGTTTCTTTGTGCACAAGCAAGCTGTCCTTCGGGGACAAACGAAGTAGAGGCAGCGGGTGTTGAACAGTCGCTGGATGGCAAGCGGCATCTGCTTCCACTTGAGCCGGTGCAGACCGGCGGGTCCACAGAACGCGGACAGGACAGGCACATGAGTGGATCAGTCGGTGTATATCGGAGGCTATATCGATGGAGCTGGTCACTTTTCGCAGCTCTCGAACTGCCTGCGTGGAGTCCGTATATACAAGCAATTTATCGTGTGACAAAGAATCCATTTTGGATATCATAACTGTTAACCCGTCCCGTATAGCAGTGAGCTCCGCTAATACGGATGGGAACGGTGCCTCTGTTACGTAAGAGCAGATATGTTGGATTTCAGGTTGCGCGGGGCATACGAGACTGGTGTGCAGAACGCAATTATCGGTAGCTGCGTCTACGTATACCGCTAGTGAGTTCTCGGT